TTTTTTAACCAGTTTACACGCGATTTCTGTTGCCAGTAGACTTCCTCCGCCTCCCACTGTCTGCTAAGCTCCAATTCAAGGATTTTCACTTCCTCCCAGTCAATTGGATGAATAGACTTGACCCTGTCAATTTCAGCTTGGAGTGTTTTGATGTTCCGAAGGGAATTAGTGGTCCCAGCTCTACTCCAATCATATAACAGATGTCGAAGCCTTTTTAGCCTTTCCCATAACCTAAACATAGGAGTTCCATGGGCCGGCTCAGCCCAGACATATCGAACCATTGCCCTAACTTCAGGATTATCCGCCCAGCGAGCATCAAATCGGAAGAGAGGACGGCTATTACGGACATAGGGCTTGTCAGACAAGAGAAGAGCCCGATGATCCGAACCCTGGTCCGTAAAATGCTTTACCAGGGTATCAGGGCAATGGTCCATCCAATGCTGGGAGCAAAGAGCCCTATCCAACCGTTCTCGAACACATGCCGCGCCCATCCGTTTATTAGTCCAGGTGAACTGGTCACCCTGGAACCCAGGATCATGAAGGCCACAGTCATTGATAAAAGCTCTAAGGCTAATAGCCTGAGACGCACTCCATTGGCTTCCCCCATCCTTCTCACCCTCATGAAGAGTGGAATTAAAATCACCAATAACCACAAACGGAAGTTGCAAATTGGAACAAATGTCTTGAAGATGAGCTAATTGGGTAGCTCTAATAGCTGCATTACAGCTAATATAAACGAACACCACAATGTACGAGAAATCAACTTCATTAATCCGAGCACAAATACAGAAATCGGAATGAAAAAAAACTGAGGCATCCACACCAGGAGCCCAAGCAAGAACAAGACCACCAGACGAGCTAACAGCGTCAACAAAAAAACAATGGGAAATAGCAAAACCTAACCCCCTCATCCGACGGGAAACTACTCTCCGGCGCGATCTTGTTTCCGAAAAGAAAACAAGGTCCGGTTTATTAGAATGAATTAGCCCAACAGCCGTTTGGAACGTGAGGGAGGGCCCAATCCCACGCACGTTCCAGGCGAGAAGCTTCATTTATCCGCCTGGGGCCACTTCCGGCTGGCTTCCTCCACCGTTTCAGAGATATCCTCCACAAACTGCTTTTTCGGAGTAGGGTCCTCCCCCATCTCCCCTTCAACTTCCTCAAATAGGCGCTTCTGGCCAACCTGGGACGGGTGCTGGATATTCGTACCATATTCATCAAGCACAGGAGAACCATTCCCCACCAGCCCATGGCCGTCCCTCTCACCATCTCCATTCACCGAACTCGCCTTTGTCATAGGGAGAGAGTCCTCCTCATCCTTTAACAGCATGCCCGACTCCAAAGCAGCTACAACCTGGTGGACCCTCCCAGGCATGGAGCGAGGACGGATCTTGTCACACGCAGGGATACGGCTTCTCACTTCAAAACAATTATCCTCTTCCTCCGAAAATGATGCTGTCGAATTCAGCAGAGGACTGGGGGTGGAATTAGGCTTTACGCCATCCGCATCATGATTGGGTGGAGAGCATGCCTTAATTGGCAAGCTATCAGCTCCTTCCCTATCCGCCACCTCAGCCTCTCGCACTTTATGGTTTCTTCTCTTCCCCTCCCGCCCCTGCTTCTTCTTCTCCGACCGCGCCAACTTAGCCTCTGTTGGCCCCGAAGATGGAGAACTACGAGGTCGTACACCATCCTCTCTCCCCATTTTAGTTGCCGCCTTGATCAGCCTTCTCCTACCCCCCACCGCCGTTTTGCCTTTCTTTTTCAGCTTAGTGAGGTCAGCAATGGGCCTCTCATCCTCCGAGTCCGAAAGAATGAGACGGCGCCGGTACGTCGGCCCTTCAGCAGCCGCGGGATGCGCCTGATGTGCCTGGGCCACGGGAGCCCGATCACCAGCCTCCCTCTCATCTCGCGCCACCTCCTTTCCACCACGGGAGCCGCCCCTCAACACAGGTCGACTTATCGGCCCAGCACCAGTCACCCGAGCCTGCCTCCTACCTTCTTCATCATCATTCGCCTGATCCGGATCGGCCGAAGATGTGCGATCAGCACCTGATGAACGTAGCTTGGGTGTGTGTTTGCGATTGCCCCGGGCCAGCCTTACTTTCGGTGACTTCGGCACCGGAAATCTACGAGGGCTACGCACCAGAGGCTTGGCGCGCTGCCCAGGGACCCCAGCAGATCCTATATCCAGGGAGCATTCCCTTTTTCCAGCCTCCTCAACTTCCATTGGCCGGGCAGTCTGCACTTCACGTTGGTCGCGCAGGCCTTGATTGACCCAGACTGACCGTGAGTTTCCCCGGAGGTGCTGCGGCCTCTCTTCAGCATCATAAACTCTGGTACCGAGCTTTTTGGTCGTCATGTGAGGCCCGTACCTTTCTGTCCCCGCCGGCGGATCAAATGTGCAATGACGATTGGCATGACCCACCCGGCCACAGCGGTAGCAAAAAGTCGGAAGATACTCATATTTAAAGTTCACCCAAAAGCCTCCCGTATCGTCACTGGTCGCCATGATTTGCGAGCGGAGCGGCTTGGTAAGATCCAGCACCGTGCGGACCTTCACGAAATATTCCCCAGTCTCGTGGCTAGCAAAAACGCCGGTCTCCAGAACCTGACCCAACGTGCTAGTCGCCATTTTCCTCCCAAACTGGGGAGTGCAGCAATCCTCTTTGACGTTCCAGAACTGAACACGCAAAGGGACCATAGCCATTTCCATATAAATACTCTTCGATATATTGGGCACCCATGATCGAAGGTGAAGAATCTTATCAGTAACCACCCATGGTGTTCTCTTGAGGACCCAGGACATGGACTCCTCCGACGGCAAAGTGAACTCAAGTAGCCCATGTCTCGTCAAGGTCACCTTCAAACGTCCTTGCACCTGCCATGGGGAGATTAGTGCTTCCCTAATCTCATTCAGATTCACCCGGGCATCAGTGAACAACCGACCGATCAAGGAATGGGTTGCTCGGTACTTGGTAGATTGAACCTCCTCCATAGTAAACTCCACCACCTGATCCGCAGCTAGACGCGCCATGATTTGATCCTGAGTCGAAAGGACAATAAGGCGAGAGTTAGAAATCCCATCCACCTTAATTGGGGACGGAGCACTACCCCCCAACTCCTTCTCATGCACGACGTGCATGGGTATCGACCGTGGGTTGTAGGGGCATCGACTAGGGACAGGCCCGGGAAAATAAAACAAAGGAAGGAGGATACGATTACCTTTGGTAAAAGCTCCCTGCAAGTCTCCAAGCTCGGGGTGTCCGCGTTCCACCTTTACTTCTGTACGTCGCAATAGAGTGCGGAAAGAAGAGCTAGGGGAAGGGGAAATAAATACCCGAGGAGAGACGTCCTCCAGCCCACTAATCCTAAGACGGTTAGATCTTCCGGGAATTATATTGGGACGCGGAGACTTGGTGGAAAAAATAAGATAATTCAACAGAGACGGGATCCCCTGAAACACGGGATTGATATTGATCTGGGACTCCTTGACCGTTACGTTGTTATGGCCACAACCGGGCCGAAACCGCCGATCAAGAGTCGGCGACTTCCCGGCGTGCCGGGTCTGTTCCCCAGGATGCAGATCACCAACCTCCACCCGGGAGTCTTCTATTTTTGTCACACGATCGAGAGCACACAGAGGCTCTGGTTCAGAGCTACCAATCTCGGCTCCCGATCGAATCCAACCCCCGAGGAGTAAAGTCACCGCCAAAAGGCAGAGCTCTTCCGGACCCGTCGGATTGGCACTAAGGCATGGAGAAAGCTCCTCCATCCGTTCATTGGACCCCAGGGGCTCTCGCAAAATCACTTCATTAGGCAATCCCTTTTCAACCCACTCCACATCATCCCTCTCCAGAGACGATGGGAGCTTGAATCGCCACACAATTTTCACTTGTTCATTTTTCTCAAGCTTTTTCTTTTTGACGGACCCACCAACCAAGATCGGGTGGGTTCCCATCTTCCGTTTACCACTCCTTATTTGAGAGTGGCATGACTGCCTGAGAGAGCCTGTAACACCAGTGCTCTCCCCGGATCGACGTCTCCTCCGCGGGACAAAGGCGGCGTTTTTACCAAACCCTTTGTCGGGCCGACTGGCCAGCGGCGGACCATATTTAGGCCAAAGGAAGGACCAGGGGTGTGCATTTCGTTCGTTGTTGATGCCCACCGCCACCACCGCCTGCACTAGGGCGAGAAGGGTCTCCCCGCACTTTTTCCAGAACCCAAAGAGAGAGGCGAGAGCGCCTCGCTTCATTTTTTTTTTTTTTTTTTTAGTTGGCGATAAAAATGGGTTTAGTCTTTTGCAATTTAGCCCCTTTTTATATGATCGTCCTATTACAAACTAATTGGAGGTAGTTGAATTAGCTACACGACCATTCGTTCAGACCTTAATGTTCATGCGTATACCAATGCAGATGAATGCACTTTGTCGCTCATGTTTATACCATCAGTTTACAATTAAAAAAAAGAAATGAAATAATTGGGCCGTTTGAACAACCCGGCCAACGCCCCAGACTCTATGCTAGTCATTGTATACAAGTAATTACCACAATAAACGAGAAAAGCTCAAACATCGTGTCAATAGGAGCATAATCAAAATACAAATGAGCATCCAAATTCACGAATACGAGGCAAGATCACTAGTGGCAAACACCCAATCAAAACACATATTGACAAGAAAGAAACTTATGTAATCGAAGACAAGAGATAACTTCTAAAACTTCTTTCTTGGGTCATAAGGATGACGGTCCAGTAAACTGGTGTATAGAGCAAGCTAATTTAGGTGAACGGGGAGACCACAATCAACTAGGACACACTTATTAATCATAGAATGACAGAATTGTCGCATCCATTTGGTGCATCCCTGATCATACACAACTGATTGTTACACCAACGTAACAAAATTCTTTAAGAACAGGATAGGGAAGCAAACAAAATAAAAAGGGAGATCTAGATCTTTACAGTACTTCTTGAGTCGATCTATCATCATCCACTCACTCTAACGAAACATGTCCAACCCAGAAATAACACGGACGGAGAACTAAAAGGACCAACATAAATATCAGTGTCCCCACTCAAATCCGAATGTTTTCAGTGGATAAAGGAAGTCATGAATGGTGTGCTCTAGCTGATGATGGCATTGGTTAAGGATAAGTGATCATCTACTCGCTGCCTTGCATTTTAACCATCACATGCTGGCCCTGCAATTGCAAACACTTTCAGAATTCCAGTAATTGGACAGAATGCCTATATACCCCCCAAGAAAACCAAAACAATAACATAGGTTAACACGGTATACACAACTCGTTGATCATTTTAAAAGGTAGCAGAAGATAAACATTCAAAACAGGACAGTTAAACTAGGCCTGGCAATCACCCAAGAAGGATACCATAGCTCACAGGGAGAACTAACTTAAAGGACTTTTAACTTCCATGTTCTGGTGTTCTAGGGTTAAACTAGGCCTGGCAATCACCCAAGAAGGATATCATAGCTCACAGGGAGAACTAACTTAAAGGACTTTTAACTTCCATGTTCTGGTGTTAAAGGACTTTTAACTTCCATAGCTCACAGGGAGAACTAACTTAAAGGACTTTTAACTTCCATTCACAGGGAGAACTAACTTAAAGGACTTTTAACTATGCTCTTCACGACAAAGAAGCCTTGACTTACGTTCCTCCAAGGCTTAATAGCAGTCCAGTCTGGGATGCGACAATCTTGCGTCCCTACTTTTCACAAGTCAGAGCATGTACCTACTAAGCCATTAATTTGTTTCAACATAGAACATTTGGCAGCTCATCCAGGGGCTCGAGAAGAAAACTTTGAGTGAGGGGCAAGTATAATGGGACCGATCACAATCCAGAAACAGATGCAATGGTGATGGAGGGTTATTGCTTTAATGGTAATCTAAAGATCGTGTAATTTTTACTTCTTAGCGATGAGGAGGGCTAAAGCTAAAGTGCAGTTGAGTAGTCATTGCGACTCAGTCAGATATATTCGGGCACCCTTGGAGCGCAATAATGCTACCACTAGTAGACTACAGGAGGAAAGGTATTGTCCACTGACCTCCAAGGAATGCACACAAGCAGAGAAACTGACTGCCACCTTTTTCATGTCACAATTGCGGTACTCCTTGTAATAATGGTACTGTGCAGATTATAGGATGAATCTTTTCCTCCACGAAAAAAAAAAAAATACTGATCCCCTAGTAATTGAACACTTTGTCTATCTCATGTCAGGTACCCTAACTGTGTTGGTGCTACAGCCAGCAGGTCTAAATCCGGGTACCCTAAAATGCAGCAGACCTCCTAATCATAATGACCAATCACCATTGTTTGTCTGAGGGCGACAATCAGTATAAGTAGGATATCATTAGGCTTACTCCAGCAATGGATCTTCCAAACCGTTGCATCTAAAAAAATTCAGAGCCATTCTACATGGGTCTTTTCGAAGATGAAAGATTGCCGCTCTCACAATGCACATAATCGGTGACAAATAAGTAAAAGTATGATGGTTCACATATCGAATACGTACAACTCATCTTTTCGTTTATCGGTGATTAAGCTGAATATCACCCATCCCGTAGTTACTGAAATCCTGACAATACAGAAGGCTTAAGCTCATAAACAATATCTGCCATCAAGCAACTGGACAAGAAGTACAAAGCACACCAAGCCAAGCTCACTGACAAGGATGTGCAAACAGTAACAAGTCGGCACCTCATGGTGAGTTTGAGAGCTGAGAATGGTGCATACCTGAGGGTTTGAGTAACTAACACCTTGTGAGAAAGTGGCTTGATGAGAAATCTGCAATGGCCATTTCCCCAAATTCCCCGAATGAGATTATGGCAGTGATGGGTTACAATCCACAACCTCTCAGAAATGAAGACAAAGAAACAAGGGACATAATACAGAGCTCCACTTCACCTGGGCATTTGGACTGGGCTGGACATCTTTTCTAGCAGATGTATCTCCACCCTTGCCTGAGCCTTTGGTATCACCCTGTTTAAACCCAACAACTTTTCCATGAGTTCAAACTACATAAACCGTGCTCGAAAATAGAGTTTGAGATACAACGAGAGAAGAAAGGACAGCATATACGCAACAAGCATCTGATCGTACCTCCATCTGCCTCATCCACCCAAAAACAAAACAAAACCAAAACAATACGTATGCATTAGTAAAGTATTAATGAAAGCCCGTAGCTCAAAATCAGAAGAATGGTTAGCAACAATCTTTAGATGAACCGAGCTAAGGGGGAACCACAACATGTAACAAAACGAGCAAAAACGAAAAAGCCAGGAATCTCACCTCTCTGTATCTGCTCAAGTAAACCTTAAGCGGCTCGATATAATCCTCAAACCCTAACGTCGCCATCGCCCACAGCAAATCATCGCCATTAATGGTCTTCCTCTTCTCTCTCTGGCACTTATCACTGGCCCTACGCATCAATTTATGAAACAAATCACACAAAAGGTAAATTATCCGCACCAGAAAAATTCCCAATTGTCTGCGGAAATACGGACAAAAAAAAAATATGTAATGCAGTCCTTACTCACTGGTGACGAAACTGATGAACTCGGAGACGCATTCCTGAACAGTCTCCTTGGCATCCTTTGCGATCTTGCCGTTAGCTGGGAGCGCCTTCTTCATAATCCGGCCGATGTTGGCGATGGGTAGAAACCTGTCCTGCTCGCGAACGTTGGAGGAGCGCGGGCTTTGATCTCCGCTGTCGTGGCTGCCTCCGCCGCCGGGGCTCCCCGGCTGGAGTCCGTCGGCCGACGACATCTAAACCCTAGCTGAAAACAGGAATCACAGATAATCATCATCAGCACAGCGAAGTGCAAAGAGGGGAGAGTTAGAAAAGTGTGGGAAATTGAAATAATAGTGAGATCGCTTCGCTTCGCTGGGCGAGTGAGACTGAGAGTACCTTACCTTGTTGTTGAGAGGCTGTTTGTATGGAAAGGGCGCGAGAGAAGGAGATGGAAGGAAGGAGGAAAGAGAAGGGATCGGACGCTGGAGAAGAGAGGGGCAAGGAGACGACTGGGATGCGAGAACGATTCTTATCAACACCGTTCGTTTGTGCCTTTTGCTCTCGACTCTTCTCATTCGCTTAAATCACATAATAATAATAATAATAATAATAATAATAATAATAATAATATATTATTATTATTATTATTATTATTATTATTATTATTGGACTAATATATACAACTAATATGAATGTGTCATTTATATTCCGGAGGAATTTTACAATGCTATATAGCATTGGTGCTATAAGTTTTTACCTTTATGATACAACTTGAAATTGTACCTTTAATGTTATGGTACAACTTCAGATTGTACCTATACTTTTTGTACAAATTCTTTTATGGTACAACTTAAACTTGTACCTTATGTGACAGTACAACTTCAAGTTGTAAAGTTGTACCATAACATAAAGATACAAATTCCTTTATGGTACAACCTAAACTTGTACATTTAATATTATGGTACAACTTCAAGTTGTACATTAAAGCATCAATACTATATAGCATAGTAGAATTGCTCTTATATTCCGTAGCTTCAAGAAATACAGCTACATGATTAAAGTTTATCCTTTTGAGAGCTCTGAATTACTAGCAGCAGTTGTTCACGTAAATGGAAGAAGCTATTGAAGACCGGAGATAAGGTGGGGCGCTTGTTTATCTGCTGGAGTAAACTAGTGTTTTGAATGAAAAGCATATGTAGAAGTTCTCTGTGAAGACGGTTTGGAATGAATTGAGAACTCCAACACCTAAAGTTCTTTGGTATAATTTGATATGGGGACAGTACAGTGTGCCTTGACAGTTGTGTTTTGTATGGCACTGGTTAGGGAATAAGAGGTTATGGGGTTGTTTGGAGATTGGGATTCTTCAAATTGATGTATTTAATCAATTTGTGTATTGTAATTTGATGTATTGATGAAATGTATGAATTTGAAAGGTAAGTAGCTTGCCAAAAGTTGGAGACTATTATTTACGGAACCTCATGATTAGCATGCTATGCTATGGAGAAAAAGATGGAATAGATGTTTTAGGAAGCAAGGCCTCGACTCTCTTACTCTTGTGCAGAAAGTAAAAAGAACTTTTGAGTTTATGAGCTTGAGAAATCATAATCTGCAGGCTGACTGCCTTGTAATTGGTTGTAGTTGGTGATTGTCTTGTAATTAGTAGTGTTAGTGATTGCAAGTGTAAGACAGAGGACTCTCTGTTTAGTATAGATAATTGTAGATACTTTGTATTGGGTTCTCAAATTGAGAATATCATATAGACATTCAATAAATATTTGATTAACCATAAAAAAAATGCTAATACCACTGGAAATACCATCGTTTAGCGAAAGTGCCATTTATATTACGTCACTTTTGATATGACAATTGTATATCATCCGTTAAGTTTTCTCTTAGTAGTTAACAGAAAACATAATCAGCAATGAAATGGCAGCTGATGTGTAAAATTTTAATAAAAAATAATTATAAAAAAACAAATCAAAAGAAAATCAAAAGGAAAATAAAAAATGTATTTCTTCCATCTTCCCAACCTCTCTCGATCTCTCCCCTCCGTCAAAGTCCCTTCTTCCATCTCCCCCAACTTCCCCACACCTTCTGCCGCCACCACCACCATCATCATTTCCTCACTCCCAATTGTCTCGCCATCTGTCAAAAAAGAAATAGAAACAAGCTCTCCCTCTTCTCGTGACAATTTGCTGACAAACAAGAAATAGAAACAAAAATTGAAAAAAATTCAGTCCCTATTGGCTACAGGTGTTTCCAATCCGCCGCCGCCGATCGCAGATAGGAAGAGAGGAAGAAGAAATAACGTCGTGGGGACAGATTAAATGGCAATAGCAGAGGCGTTGTAGTCGCCGTCGTCACTAGAAAGTGGGTTGACCTTCTCCTCCTCAATGTCGTCATCGCCATCATTTTCCTTTGAACAGCCGTCACTTCCCCTGAAACGATCGTCGTGCACCCTAACCAGAGAAGAATAGAACAAACTGTCGCCACCGCCGTATCTCCTTAGACAATCAATTCACACCGACTGAAGAACAAGGAGACGAACCGCCACCCTCTCCAAAACTGCAATCGTTCGTCTTCCTCACCGCCTTGGAGAACAGGGGATCAAGGATTCGATGCGGGTGGAATTGTGGCATAGCCTGCCCGTGTGGCTTAGTGGGCATGACTGGATCTGGAAATTGATTTCCAGAAGCAGTTCAGATGAGCAGGCGGCGGAGAAAGAAAGAAGAAGCAGCAACCCAGATCCGAACCTTCGATGCCTCCACTGTCGTCGCTTCAGGCCAACGACGTCTTCACTTCCTTTTGCATAATAATTATGGAACTTTGGCGGTGGTTGCAGAGGAAGGGAGGCGGAGGAAGGAGGGTATGAACCGATAAGGTAAATCAAGGAGTTGGGATCGTCCGAAGAAGCAGATGGGGCATGATGGCATCAGCGGCAAGAGAAAGACCGAATCGTGGCTGTAAGGGTTGCGAAGGAGGGCAGAGGTCATTCTTAGAAAAAATTTATTTAAAAATAAATTAATAATATTAATTATTTGTTTCTGAAAAAAATAATATTTTTTTAAATATTAATTTCCTACGTGGCACATATGTGGACAACACCTAAGTTGACCACCATTAGGTCAACCGTCAATTATAACGGTTAACAGGAATTCGCATAACACAAATGACGCAAACTCCTAATACGTTGGAATGTTTTTGTGTTTATTTAAAGTACGTAATATAAATAGCACTTTCGCTAAAGGATGGTATTTCCAGTGGTATTAGCCCTAAAAAAAACTTCAATAAATATATTAATATTTCAATCTATTATAATTCTGTGTCATTTGTTTTATGTGAATTTTTGTTGACCGTTAAATTGTAAACTTAACAATTAAACTTAATAGAAGTCAAAAGATGTTTGAGTCTTAATGACATGACATATGTTATCATCCACCTAAGTGACATATCATATGGGTGTGTGATGTGTATTATTTTTTTATTTGAACTTTCACAATTAAATATTTTTTTCCAAATTTAAAAATTCCAGGAAAATTATAAACAAGAAAAAAAAGAAGAAATACCCCACTCCTCACAGCTTCCGCGTCCATCATTACACACCTCGGTCGCCATAATCATATGTCGTGTCTCTGAACAACAACCGGCAACCTAATGGTCGTCGTCCTTCAATTCCTCCTCTCACCATAAGCCCCAACGTTGAGGATCAAACCAGATGTTTGTCAGATCTCCCGTCGACACCCTCAGATTCAGGTCGTTGAAAGCGAAGTCAAAATTGCACCTTGAATTTGCTCCAGGGTATCGTATGCTCCGCGCTCTTTTTGCTGGTGCGATTCTTTCCTAGCTCGATTTCCCCTACTCGTTATATTGGGAAGAGTATTTAGATTTTTGGGTTTCTGGATTTATGGGGAAGAATGACCTTATTTCTGGTTTCTTGATTTTGTATATTCGGTTTTGCTAGCAGAAAGAAAGGATTGGGGTTTGTGTTGGGCTACGTGCTTAGGCGCTTTAACAATCTCAGACCAGTGATAACAGGGGCGGAGCTACATTGTAGCTAGGGTGGGCCCCGGCCCCCCCGGGATTGATCCCGGCCCCTAGGTTTTTAAAGATATTTCGTACAAATTTTAGAAGTAGAACATGTTCTGTAAATTATATGATCAAATAGTTATGTGGTCTAATGGTAGCCAAGCTTAACTTGTGTATTATAGCACATGGGTTCGATCCACATTGGTTACATAATTTTTTTAATTATTTTCGGCCCCCCCGGTCTCGAAATCCTGGCTCCGCCCCTGAGTGATAAGCACTAGGCCCACTAGCACGAGACCCATGGTACAGGGCCGAAGCCCACTATGGATACTCCTCTAGCGGGAAACGGTATCTGTATCTGGCGGAGAGATTGGACATAGAAAACGGTTGTGTGGGAACCCAATGCGTTACAACGCTTTGGGGTCTCGCAAAACAGGCCTTGAGCGTAAGCATTGGGCGGTGACTCGCGACATGCGTTGGGCGGGGGCGCAAGCGGTCCTTTAGACAGATAATAAATGCGGTTGCAGACAATGTACACTAAAAAATATTCCCTAACACATATATTCAAGGGTTATAGGTATAATATGCCCCTCCATTAAGACGTTTTATCAAACATGCCCCTCTACTATTTTTTACATCAAATATGCCCCTGTACTTTGAAAAAATTATAACATGCCATTCTGTTAAAACTTTCATTGAAAAAATCGTCAATCGTGGTTGAATCGAGATTTAGATGACCCGACATCTGCAAATGGGAGGAAAAATGTCAGTTTTGTCCCCTATTTTATTTCCCTGAGTCTTTTCAAAGTGAAATTATTTGAATGATTTGATTATACAAAAGAACGAAAAAAATTCTAAAGTGAATTTATTATGGATATTTTAGTCATTTGTGTCGCCCAAACTAAATTTCGGCCTTGGTTAACGGTTTTTGGATGAAAATTTTAAAGGGCATGTTTGATCATTTTTACAAAGTACATGGACGTGTTTGATGTAAAAAATAGTAGAGGGGCATGTTTGATAAAGCTTCATAGTAGAAGGGCATATTATACCTATAACCCTATATTCAATGCGACTCGTAGGCGTAGTATAGAAAAGGGACATTCCTGACTCCCTTGGAGCAGGCATTAAATAATCATTGTACGCCAAGATGAGTATTAATACCCCCCACTCCATTTTATTTATGGTAACTAAACTACTCTTTAGAAGTGGACGTGGTGGATACCCAAGGAAACCAACCCCGATCGGAAGTGGTAGAGGGGGATATCAGCGTTCTGCTCATCACTGAAGAGCCAAACATGAGGGTGTCCATCTTGACGCACTTACCAGTCAATGAAAAGGAGGAACTCCTCCAATTGATGAAGGATTAAGCCATTATTTTTGCTTGGGGGGCCAGAGGACATGCTAGTCGTGTCGTCGGAAATCGTGAATCATCAATTGTCGATCAAACCCAATGCAAAACGGGTGCAACAAAAGCACCGAAACATATATGTGATAAAACCCTTGGCCACCGAAG